TCTCTCTCTCTCTCTCCACAGATTGAGAATAATCCCTACTTACAGGGTATTTTTGTAGAAGGCGTGTTAATTAAAGTTGTTGAGTGTCTGAGGAATGGGAGAATCCATTTTTGACCCTGAATCTGAAAAACAGAGTTATTGTTCTTATTAGCACTGATTTCACCTGATGCACTTGGTTTAATAAAGCTCTATTAAACAGAATAAGCTGAATTACCAATCTGACTCAACAGTGTTTGGGGTTCTGGGGATACAGGTGTGTGTGAAACAGGAAAGTGAGCAGAGCGAGTCAGATTTCTCATGAGTGTCAGATGAACTTTACACAAAATCTCCAAATACTCAAAATGTAGCAATCATATCTCGCTCCTTCCCTTCCTGGTGTCCTGTGACCTCCACCATAAAGTCTCATTCCGAGGAGAGTAGAAGCATAAATTTATTTATATAATGAAGGTCCCAGCCCCACAGCTACTTACTATTTCTACTCCACAAAATCGGTGTAGCACTAAAGGGAGGGCATATGATCCTTAGCATGTTAAGTAACAATCGCAGCACACTCCTGTGAACACCGTGAAGTTTCTTAATCTTAAAGGCCTGGTTCCCATGTCTCTAAGTGAGTGATTTAACCATTTCGCGTGCATCATTGTGATTCTGGCTAGCAATAATCCCAAACTCTTGAGTCTTAAACAATAAGATAGGTGTATTAATTCACATAATACAAAAACCTAAGAGTAGGCATCTACTAGGATATTTAAATTCAGGACTAATAACATGACTAAGGACCCTCGGCCATTACAATTTTATGTCAGCCATTAGGAACTTCTGGTAGCAAGATGTGGCATTCCCCCCCTTTCAAATGCAAATATAGCAACATATGATGGAGGTGGGGCTTCCTCCTTCCTTCCTTTCTTTTTCTTTTTCCTTAGAACCTTTTAGACAATCTCATTGACCTGAATGTCTTTCAGAATATCTCATTGGCCAGAAATGAGTTACAGTATTCACCTCAAATTAGTCATTGGTAAGGTAAATGATAAACTATGTTTAGCTTGAACTCTTTGCTCTTTAACTATGAGTCACACGGAAGGGGAGGGAATACCCCAAATTGAGATTTTACATGCAAGAAAAAGCAAGGGACTGTCCTGTAAGCAACTAACAGCATTTTTTACATCACATGATACTAGCAAGCATCAAAGTAGACATTGTCTGAAACAAATTTCTAAGTTTTAAAGATAAATGCATTTTGTCATTTTATAATTATGCTAATAGATAAAAATAAAAAGTAGTGCACTAATAGTAAAGTTGCCTTCAGTTGTTAAGAAGAAAGCAGTTCTCTTAAATATCTCAAAGTTAATTTTTACCAATTTGTGCCTACCATGTCCTCCTCCCCTTCCTCCTCCTCCCAGCCCCCTGCTCCTTACCTCTTTGCTGTGGATGGAACCCAGGATTTTGCTTGCTATCGTTGAGCACAACCCCCTCGATCGGCTTGAGCCTTCTTATCCTCTGTAAAATCATTTGTAATTTAAAAAAAAAGGTTACTAATAAGCCAGATTATTTACTAATAAGTAAGGTTTCCTGAATAAAAGAGTGATCTGAGCAATGCTGGCAGTGTGAGAGACACGATCAAAAAGCCCAGGTAGTACACCTGATCTAGCTGTCTGTGCTTGCCTTCAGAGACATCTTGACTGTGTGTCTTAACTTCCTCCCCTCCTCTCTTCTGAACTCAGGCTTCCTTGCAGTGTTAACATTTTCCTGCAACTTTCATGTATGCTAAAGGAAGTACCAGTGATTTGGGGAATTCCTGCAGCTATGGGTCATTTAAAAACTGCATATGGATTCAGTGCCTCACTTTATCAGACTTGGCACAGTTAGATAAAATGGGGAAGTTTTACCTTGCTGAGCTTCAAAACTGTGAAGGAAAATTCCTATTTTTAGTGTCACGAGGAGGAGGAGCCTCTCCGTCTGAAGACTTGATAGTTCAGCCTAGTGAGACAGCAATGGTAACTAAGTTTCACAAGATTTTAAGTTCGCATCCCACAGATGTGCAGCCAGTGCTCTAGATCAGAACCACATTTTAGTGAGCACTAACTGAGCTAAAACTTTTTTGCATTTGATTATGAGGTCTATTACCTATAGTTCTAGCACAGTGACTTTCACATACTAGAAACTCAAGGAATTGAATTGAAAACAACCATATTATAAACTTCCTACTATTGAATTGGTTACAAATTGCTATTCTTTAAATATCACCAAAACTGTGTGTTATTATTTCATGATCCACTTTTAAGATATCTGAGACCATCAGGAAACTGTGACAAATGCGTGATGTTAATCTTCCTGGAAACGTCCTAATTAATTACAGAAAGATGAGGTCCTTTTTCTTATCCTATGTAGTGTACGCAATTCATATTTCTTCATCTTAACTATAAAATGTTTTAATTCTTTCATCACAGAGTTGTCTATCTGATATAACCTCTTTATTGGGTATTATGAGGTGGTTAATGAATAAACATAGAAATATGATGATTCTTACTTCTATGAAAGAACAATGGTACTGTCCAGTGAAATCATTTCGAGCACCTGTGAGCAGGTGAGAGCAGTAGGAGATACATCCCGATGCAGGGTCTGTAACCCATTCTGTATGCTTTCATTGTTTTTTTCATGTACTTCATTAATAATTTAAAGATCCATGCAGCCACTCGGGGCTAACCCCTTTGGCAAGACTGAGAAGGCTTAAGAGACAGATGTCTCTTCATGTTTTAACCACCTGTAGTGTCCAGGATATATACAGGCAGGTAAGAACACGATCCTAGCTCTTTGTATTAAGATCCTTTTGCTTTAAAATTTAAAATTTTAACTGAAAAACATGTGAACTATTTGTGAAAATTGGTAAAGTGTGAAGAAAAATGACCTAGTCAAAGAAAACTTTTAAAATAAAAATAAATTTGAAAAAGAATCTTTAAAAATGAATGTCTTTAAAAAGTCAATACATTTCAATTACGTTGAAAGAAGTATTTTAGATCATTTTATTGTACGAAAATTAGAAATAAACAAGACTAACAAATGTAATATGATAAATTTCATGCCTTAGATCCTCCTCCTGGCACACTTTAGATCCAAACAGTGCCGTTTGTACAAAATAAACAAATAATTAACTGTGGGGAGGAACGGAGTTTCAGAACCTAGCTTGTTGTGAAGTGGATTTTGGTTTTGATTTATTAGCTTGATTTGTCTGGACTGCTGACTCTGGGTAGACTTGAAAACAGATAAAGAAAGGCAGCTGGGTTAGTTTTAAAACTTTCCCCCCTTCAAAAGTTGTCATTTGGCCTGGGAGTGGACATAGGTATGGGCACAACTGCAGATGGTATCAAAGATCTTTCTGGGCAATGAAAAACTTTGCAATTGGGTTTGGGTGACATTTACACAATTGTGTAAATTCCATAAATTCTCTAGAACTCATTTAATTGTGCTCTAAAAATGGGTGAATATTATGGTCTGTAAATTATACTTCCTTAAAGCTAGTAAACACACGCACCTAAGTTAAAATAATAAATGGTCCTTATACCAAACCAAGAAAATTTCTGAAGAGATCAAACGAAATAAACATCTGTTTAAAAGCTAGATTTATATCCTACTTTGGTACATTTTAACTCTATTAGCTTACTTTAGTAAGAATGCAAAACTAAACAGGAGAACAAAATCTATTTTAATAAATACTCAATATTAATTGGTTTCGGATTCAGTGACAGTCATCTCCTGTCATGTGTAGAGTCTTCCTTTTATAAGATTTGATTCTGCAAGAACCATAAAAATATAAAAGCTTGAACTTCAAAATAAATTTTCATCATTGTAAAATGTGACCCCATATTTACTCTACTCAATTTTTAATTCTCCACGTGGAGAAGCCACTTGCAACAACTAGATAAGGCCAAAATGAAGAGCAAAGAAAACAGACTGAAAAACAAACTCTTTTCTAACGGTTTGGGAGCCCAGTGTTTTTGCCAACTTGACATTGCTTTTATTTGCATAACTCTTACATACAGTACTGTAATGTAACAAAATAAAATCATACACTGTGTAAAAAATACACTGTACCAAAAAGGGCATAGAAGCACTATAAAGATGTACAGAGCTGTACAAAACAGGACTAAGTCCGGGCAGCTTGCCTCAGCTGTAAGTCTGAACAGTCATTACCAAGGCACATCTGTAGTTTTATTCAAATACAGCCCCGCAGGTAACTTTTGGTAAATTTACCTATTTCTGCACAGTGAGGGTCCTACTACCATGGCAGATTTGCGTAGTTGCTACGGAGATCACATGACCATCAAAACCTAAATATTTAAGATGTAGTTTTTAGCATATATTGCATCTGAATCCAAGTAGCAGCACAGGGATGAGGAGAGAGGACAGATTTGAAAAGTTCAGTATCCAATCTTTATTGTGTCTTGCCGATAAATTAATTGGGTTGTTGAAGACATAGTTAAGGTTGATGTCCAGGTCAGTTTCCAAATTACAGTTTATCGCTTGAGAGATGATCTTGGAAATTATGTGACTAGCACTAGAATCATAATAACAATCTTTCAGCACTGAAGTCCACTTTAAATGTACTGTTGGGGTGGCTGCGCCTGGTGGCACACGTCTAGAATCCCAGCATGTGGGAGGCCGACGCAAGAGAACGGCCAGCCTGAGCTACACAACCAAACACTGTTGCAGCAGAACAAGAACAGTATAATGCTTTCAGTACTTGCTCAAAATACTGGTTTGCCTTATAAATAACCATTTACAAACAGTTTTTTGTAACCGTATATTTCAGAATCGCTTTGGACTTACTATTAGCCCAGGCTGGCCTTGAACTCCTGGAGATTTTTCTGCCTCAGCCTTCCAAGTACTGGGATTATAGGTGTGCGCTACCATGACCCCCGTTACGTGTAATTTTTGTAGTTAGCAGTCCTGCCTCCTGCTTTGAATAGAGGGGTTTTGTTCTTGAGTTAGCCATTACCCTGTTTCCTTAAAAACAGGGGCGTAATGCCGTGAAGTAAGTGGCAGTGCCTTAACTGTATGTGTGTTGTCAGGCCCAAGGCCTCTTCCATCCTTGTCAAGGGGACTGCTGACCTTCTGCCCTTTCCGACAGTACTAGGAGCCAAGTTTTTATTCACATAATTTATATGCTATTTGGTCCACTTTCAAAATATGTTCACTATGTTTGGATTCAAGATTAAAACTCAGGATATTTGGCTCTCCAGTATATGCATATGTGATCATTCATATACATACAGAATGTGTGTTGTAGGGGTGAAAGTAACCTTCTCTCTTAGAGCTTTAATTATCGAGTCTGATAAGTGAACTGGCAGTAGACAGATCAATAAGAGTAAAGGTACAAATTAATAAATAGGTTTATGGGAGTTACACACAATGTGAAGATCAAAGGTCTAGTTGGCTTAAAAATACATACCAGAGGGGAAATACAGCCTGTTTAATGAGCGGTATTGGGAAAACTGAATATCCACATGGAGAAGATGGTGTATAGACCCACAGATCTCACAATTTACTAAAATAAAATAAAAAATAGACCAAAGATCTGAGTGTTAAAACAGAGCCACTTAATCTGCTGGAAGATAAAACAGGTTCAGCTCTTGAGGACATAGGGGTAGGGAAGGGCTTTCTGAACAGAACCATAAAGGCAAGAAATAATATTGAGAATCAGCAAATGGGTCATATCAAGTTAAAAAGCTTCTTCCCAGAAAAATTAATGACCATTCTATAGGAGGAGAGACAACCTATAAGATGGAAAAATTATTGCCCGCTGTTCCTCAGACAAAGACTATCATCAAGATTATATGAAGAACTCAAGATAGGCTCCCCAAAATACCCAATCAAAAAACTAAAAAAAAAAAAAATCAATGAACAGATGCTTCTCAGAAGAATTATAAATTACCAACAAATACATGAAAAAATGTTCAACATCATTAACCTTTAGAGAAATGTGAATATAACTATAAACTAAGATATCATTTTACCCCAGAAGGAGTGGCTATCATTGAGAAATCTAACAATAACAAATACTGGTGAGGATGTGAGGAAAAGGGAATTCTACTACATTTTTAGTGGAAATATAAACTAGTATAATCACTATTGAAATCAGTGTGGAGCTGCCTCAAGAAACTAAAAGTGAAAATTCCATTTGACCCTGCTATTCCCCCTAGATACTGGGAACAGCATATACGTCCATGGACAGATGAATGGATGAGGCAATGCGGTATTTATACACAGTGGAATACTACTCTGCCATAAAGAAAGGAAAACTTGGGCATTTGTAGGTAAATAAATGCAATGTGAGAACATGGTATTAAGTCAAATAAATCACACACACAATCTCAAATACAGCATCACATCTTTTATATGAGAAAAATTTTAAAAGGAGCAAACTAAAAGATAAATAGGACATAGGGAAATGTTCTGTTAATATCCTAAATTACCTATTCTGCTGTTTCACATAAAATCAAAACAAACAAACAAACAGGTCTAGATAGCTGAAGCTTAGAAAACATTGTGAACTACATAAAGAAGGGGCAGAGTTGGGTTTCTTTAGGGAAAATGAACTAAATAAATTTTAGGGAAGTTGAATAAACTCAGAAGACAATAGCCTGGGACACAGTTTGAGAGAGCTATGTGTACGGTGTTAGCTGCTGATGCCTTTCTTGCGGAGTTAACCTTCTGGAGGATTCGTGTTAATGTTTTGGAGGAGGTATATTTCTGTTTTTGTTGTTGTCGTTGTTGTTTGAGATGGTCTTGCTACATTGCCAGGACTCAAACTCGTGATCCACCTGCCTCAGCCTTCCAGAGGCCTGAAATGGTGGGCGTGCCCGCACGGTACCCAGCGTGGAGGACATGGTCTTTAGGAGAACTTCAGGGAAAGATCCTTCTTGCACTTTAGGAAATGAAGAGGATGAAAATCAGGAAGGTCAGCGGGAACTTGAGGCCGCTTCTTCAGCTCTGCATGTGAAAGCAGATGTTTCAGTGTATCATTTTGTGATCCTCAACAGAGTTAAGGACAAAAAAGTCCGTAAGATGAAATTCCTTGGCCTAGCCATCGGTGTGCAGAGGAGGAGCTGGACGGATCTGGGGTGCCTGCATCAGCCCCTCCGTGTGTCTGGAGGACTGTGGATATCTCTGCAAGCGGGGAGGGATCGCAGGTTCCTGAGGCACTGCGGCCTGTGGTGAGTGATCAGCACACTCTGCCCAAATCTCAGACTGTTCCAGACCCTCCAGGCTTCCGAGTGCAGTGAAGTGGAGTAGTGGGTTAGAGGCCTCTACATCCGCCTCCCCATCCCGGCTGCACTTGGAGAACTGCTGAGCTTCGGACGGGTGGGCGGGCCCACACTATACCCGGAGCCCAGCCTGTTTCACTGCCTTGCCTAGCCATCAGTGTGCAGAGGAGGAGCTGGGCGGATCTGCGGTGCCTGCATCGGCCTCTCCGTGTGTCTGGAGGACTGTGGATATCTCTGCAAGCAGGGAGGGATCACAGGTTCCTGAGGCACCGAGGCCTGTGGTGAGTACCCTAACCCGGCTGCGATTGAAGAGCTGTGGAGCTTCCAAGGGGCAGGTGGGCGCACAGTGTCCCTGAGGCCCAGCTTGTCTGGAACTGTGGAGTTCTGAGCAGGCAGAGGAGGGCCATTGGTTCTGCAGGCCCAATGCCTTGGGGTAGCGTGGTGCCAGAGTCTCAGTAGCTGCAAACATAGAAGGCTATTTTCAACAGACCCTGAGGAAGCTTTCAAATAACACTTGAAACACAGAAATATAGGAAAATGACAAAACAAAAGACCAAATTACAACCTCAAACCTCCAGTCCATCTCAAGAAACCCTAGGAGCAATGTATATAGAAGAAAATATACTCCATCCACCTCAAAATCGGACACAATAGCTACTGAAATTGACAAGCAACTCCAGGAAGCTTTAAAGAAATTCAAACTTGAAATAATCTCCCAGATAAAAGAAGAAATGATAAAAGAAATGAAAGAGATTCTGAATATATCTAAAGAAAACACAGCTAAAAAATTGGAGGAACTAAACAAAAAGATAGAATCCCTAGACGAGCAATATAAGAAACAAAGAGAATACATAATGCAGATGCACAGAGATATACAGGAAATAAAAAACTTCACTGAAAGTTGTAAAAACCGCCTTAATGAAAGTGAAGATAGAATTTCAGACCTTGAAGACAGGATTGCAGCTAGTGAACAGGAAAGGAAAGATCTTTTAAAAATAACAAGGAATCAGGAAACAACAATTCAACAACTGCAAGACGATGCAAAGAAGAATAACATAAGAATGATAGGGATTAATGAAAAAGAAGGAGACAACATAAAGGACGTCAAGAGGATATTTAGAGAAGTAATAGCTGAAAATTTCCCAAGCATGAGATCAGAAACTGACATCAGGATCAGTGAAGCATATAGAACTCCAAATAGTCATAACCAAAATAAAACTACACCCAGACATATAATAATCACCATCCCAGAAATCCAACACAAGAATAGATTATTAAAAGCTGTCAGAGAGAAAAGACAGATCACTTATAAAGGAAAACCTATCAGAATCACAGCAGACTTCTCATCACAAACAATAAAGTCAAGAAGAGCATGGAGTGAAGTATTCCAGATCCTAACGCAAAATGATTTCCAATCTAGACTGATATATCCTGCAAAACTATCATTCAAAATAGATGGTGAAATACGATACTTCCATGACAAAGAACAGCTGAAGAACTTCATGAACACCAAACCAACCCTGCAAAAAATATTGAAAGACAGTTTAGATACACAAAGGAAAAAACCACTAAGCAAAGCAAATAATTAAACAGAACAGAAAGATAAAGATGCAACAGCAGAGAGAAAACATTCCTACAATAAACCAGCATTTAACAGTAATAACCATTAATGTAAATGGTCTCAATGCACCAGTCAAAAGAAACAGACTAGCAGAATGGATCAAGAAACAAAATCCTACCATATGCTGTTTACAGGAAACCCATCTAATCCAGAAGGATACTCACAGACTGAAAGTCAAAGGATGGAAAACAATTCTTCATGCAGCAGGAATCCAAAAAAAGGCAGGAGTAGCCATTCTGTTTGCAGACAACGTGAACTTTAAACCAACAATGACCATAAAGGACAAAGAAGGTCACTACATACTCGTAAGGGGAAAACTCCAAGAGGAAGAGATAACTATCTTAAATATATATGCACCAAACTCCAGAGCACCCAGTTATATAAAACAATTATTAACTGAAATGAAAACTCAAATTAGCAGTAACACAATTGTAACAGGAGATCTTAATACGCCATTGACACCAAGAAACAGATCAACCAGACAGAAGATGAGCAAAGAAATAACAGAACTGAATCACACCTGTGAACAAATGGGTTTGATAGACATATACAGAATGTTCCACCTAACAACATCAGAATACACATTCTTCTCAGCAGTACATGGATCATTCTCTAAAATAGACCATATATTAGCTCACAGAACATATTTAAACAAATGCAAAAGAGTTGAAATCATCCCTTGCATGTTATAGAATCATAGCGCTCTGAAATTAGAAATTAATGATAAAAGATACTGCAAAAATCCTGCAAACACATGGAAACTAAATAACACACTCTTGAGTAATCAGTGGGTCACAGAAGAAATTAAACAATACCTAAAAGAAAATGAAAATGCAGATACAATTTACCAGAATCTGTGGGATGCAATGAAAGCCGTCCTGAGAGGAAAATTTATTGCACTGAGTTCCCACATCAGGAAAACAGAACGAATACAAATAAATAACTTGATGCTACACCTCAAACAGCTAGAAAAAGAAGAGCAAGTCAAGCCCAAAGCCAAAAGAAGAGAGGAAATTATAAAAATCAGAGCAGAAATCAATGCAATAGAGACTAAGAATATAATCCAAAGAATCAACAAATCAAAGAGTTGGTTCTTTGAAAGAATAAATAAAATTGATAAGCCCTTAGCCAACCTTATTTTAAAAAGGGAAGAAAAAGCTCAAATTCATGCAATAAGAAGTGAAAAAGGTGAAATCACTACAGACCCAATAGAAATACAGAAGATCATCAACACCTATTTCGAAA